GGTTTAGGGGTTTAGGGTCTACCCATAATAGGCCCCTAAGTAGTTCCTTTTTGTGGGTTTATAGTCAGAATCCTATAAGGTAAGGCCAAAAAGGAACTACTTAGCGGCCTATGGGTAGCCATTATTTCCTCTAGGGTTCGGGGTTCGGGCTGCTAACATAGAGCATGATCGGGAAGCATGATCGGGATACCTTTCCTTTGTCCTTGAAACAGACAAAGAAGCCTTAAACCCCCGAAGCCCTAAACGCTAAACCCTTAAACCTCTAAGCCCTAAGCCCTAAATCCCTAACCCCTAACCCTTAAACCCTTAAACCCACACAGAGGCTCTACATGGAGATCGCCAACGCCAACTCCGCCCTACGCAGTGGCCACGCCCTGAGGCGGGTGCCCGGTGTCTTCCGGGTGCGCGACGTGGTCTCCTTCCGTTTCTAGGCTCCCAAGTAGTGCCCTAAACCCTAAACCCCAAACCCTAAACCTTAAACCCTAAACCCGAAATAGGCTCCCAAGTAGTACCCTAAACCCTACACCCTTAAAAGTTCCCATATTCAAAATGAATACCAGGAAACGGGGGGGTTATCCTTTTTTGAGTGGACGCTGGAGAACCCCAGGTTTCCATGGCGTCCCTGATGAGGCGCGGAGGGTGAGCATTTCAAGAAACGCCTATGCAGGCTTAGGGTTGAGAGGTGCTTGGCTTAGGGCTTAGGGGTTCAGGATTTAGGGGTTTAGGGTTTAGGGCGTGTAGGGCTTAGGGTTTTAGGGGTGAAAGAGTTTAGGGCTTAGAGTTCAGGTTGAGAAAGACTCATCTCGAAGCCCCGAGGTGTACTTGAACGGGCACCTGTGCATCAACAGGGACCTGCAGATCTTTAACTATGGTCACTAGGTTTCCGAGTAGGACCCTTTTGCCCTTTTTCCTTGTTGTGTTCCCTTATTTAAAAAAGTAGGAGGAAAAAGGGCACCCTTACTTCTAAGGGGCTACTGGGGAACCCAGGTCACGAGGTGGAGTATCCTTGGCGATGGTATGACCCGATGCTTGACGGCTTCGTTTACAGGCGACAGCAGCCACCAGAGGAGGAGGAGAAGAAGACCGGCAAGGTGGTTTGGGAGAGGTTTGTCAATTCACAGAGTCTCTGCGGCAAATTTGGGATAATAGTTAGTGTCATGCACTATAATGAGTGCCCTTTGAGAAATTTCAGAAGTAAGCATCTGAGACTACAACGAAGGAATGGTGGAGGCAAGCTGAAAGCAGAGGATACCCCGGGCACGGAGGCGTTTGTAAAGAAGCGGGAGCAGTTCTACGCTGTGGGAGTCGTCGAGAGTGTGAATCTTCACACTTGCACCGTGAGCATCGTGATTGTAGAGAACGATGCGACGATGGGCTCGGCTACAGCACCCTTAACTGACAAGCGGGGCAACTAGGCTGTATGGTTGACAAAGCACAGCCCTGCTTTGTCGTCATTAGATGTTTAAGTGCTTTCGATCCTTAAGACGGTTCTCGACTGAAGTAGGTGAGTGGGCTTTCAACAGCGAGCAGCATTCTTCGGGACTCAAAGCGACGCTGTACAAGAACGTTCCCATGGAGAAGGCGTGCATCCACGGCTACGAGGGCTTCGTGGCGCCCTACGACCACCCGCCGCCTGCGGTGTACAAGCCGGTTCCCGGCCACTACACCGCCGACGAGTTCCTGGTCTAATGTAGGAAGCAATAATAGTACCACCCCTGAAAATTTGAGCTTGTCTTTAAGTTTCTTTAAAATTTAAGTATAATTAATTGATACCCTGGACCATCCTAAACCCTGTGCCCGAAGCCTTGCACCCTCGATAAGTTGAGGGCTTTAAATCCTAGACCCTGAACCCTAAACCCTAAAACCCTAAAGCGCCTAAACCCTGAAACCCCAAAACCCGAAACCCT